GGACTTTTGACAGTTCTTTTCTGCTCCCCATGGCTCAGTATCTAGCCTGCTCAGTGCATCCACGTGAGAGCTAACAAACTCATTGATTATTTATACACAGACACTGACTGAATATTTAAAGCTTTGGGCTATCCTTTTATATCCTTATAATGTTCCCTCACCTTGTTACGCAGGTCTTTTGACGGTTCTTTTATGCTTCCCATGGCTCAGTATGAGCGCATGCTAATTGTTTTTAAAAAAGCAGATTATTAAATGTTTGTGAATGTTGACACCACAAAATGCACTCAGCCAATGACAGGTCAGGACGCCATTTTTATTCTTCTCCTGCTAACAATGGCCAACCCGGTCCCACACTTCATCCACGTCTTTGGTGACCTCTGACCTCCTTATGAACTGTTTTTTCCATGATGAAGATCAGCCATGGAGTATATCTGAGGTGTATATCGGGGGGGCTTCTTCCCCACATAAGAGCTGGGATGTCCAGCAACATTCATCTAGAAGACATTTCCCGCACTCAAAGCACTAATACGCCTCCAGGGTTGTGTGGGACCCCAGGAAGACAGGACTTTAGGGAGGAACATTTCCCTCACTCAGGACCGGAAAGTGGATTATCCCCCGTGTGAGATCTCTGATGTCTGGAAAGATGGGACTTCTCTGAAAAACATTTCCCGCACTCAGGACAGGAATACGGCTTCTTCCCTGTGTGCGATTTCTGATGTCTGGAAAGATGTGATTTCCTTGAAAAACATTTCCCGCACTCAGGACAGGAATACGGCTTCTCACCCGTGTGTAATCTCTGATGTCTCTTTTGAGTGGACTTGTCTGAAAAACATTTCCCGCACTCAGCACAGGAATACGGTTTTTCCCCCCCGTGTGAGACCTCTGGTGTGTGAGAAGTTGTGCTTTTGATTACAAAACATTTCCCGCACTCAGAACAGGAATACAGCTTCTCGCCCGTGTGAGATCTCTGATGTCTGACAAGCTCTGATTTTTGTGGAAAGCACATCCCGCACTCAGGACAGGAATATGGCTTCTCATCCATGTGCGAACTCTGATGATAGGAAAGACTGGACTTATTTGAAAAACATTTTCCGCACTCAGTACAGGAATACGGCTTCTCCCCCCGTGTGCAATCTCTGATGGCTGTAAAGACTGGATTTACTAGAAAAACATTTCCTGCACTCAGGACAGGAAAGTGACATTTCCCCCGTGTGCAGTCTCTGGTGTCTGAAAAGACTGGATTTACATGAAAAACATTTTCCGCACTCAGGACAAGAATACGGCTTCTCGGCCATGTGCAATCCCTGATGTCTGGAAAGATGTGACTTCATTGAAAAACATTTCCCGCACTCAGAACAAGAAAACGGCTTCTCACCCGTGTGAGACCTCAGATGTCTGTGAAGAAGTGCCTTATTTGAAAAATATTTCCCGCACTCAGGACAGGAATATGACTTCTTCCCTGTGTGGGATTTCTGATGTGCGGAAAGATTGGACTTCTCTGGAAAGCATTTCCCGCACTCAGGACAGGAATATGACTTCTTCCGCGTGTGAGACCTCTGATGTGCGGAAAGACTGGACTCAGGAAAGGAATGTGGCTTCTCAACCTTTGTGAGATTTTTTATGCAGTATAAGTTTGGATTTAGAACGGAAACATTTCCCACACTCAGTACAGGAGAAGCTCTTCACTGTTGGAAGATCGGCCCGGTCCCGCACAGTCTGAGGTTCCTCAGGATACGAGGAATCCGATGGTCCATCTACACTGGGTGGTGCCGGATGGACATTGGAGGGAGCCGGGTTTTCTCCTGGACTATACTGTGTGATGTCCTCATCTTCTACTTTCCAGTCTGGAGACAAAGTGAGACAATCCTCAGAGGTTTTCCTCATCTCCCGGCCATGGGACTAAAATACAAAGACAAAGAGGATTACTAGACAGGAGCCCCATCAGAGGTCAGAGTGAGGATGGGGGGGGGGGGGGGGCCAAGAGGAAGACTGGACCATTCTGAGGACCACTAGCATTGGGGTATTGGCTCATCCTGAAGACCACCATCATTTGGGTATTGGCTCCTCCCCCATCCTGAAGACCACCATCATTTGGGTATTGGCTCCTCCCCCATCCTGAAGACCACCATCATTGGGGTATTGGCTCCTCCCCCATCCTGAAGACCACCATCATTGGGGTATTGGCTCCTCCCCCATCCTGACCCTGAAGACCACCATCATTGGGGTATTAGCTCCTCCCCCATCCTGAAGACTACCATCATTTGGGTATTGGCTTCTCCCCCCATCCTGACCCTGAAGACCACCATCATTGGGGTATTGGCTCCTCCCCCATCCTGACCCTGAAGACCACCATCATTGGGGTATTGGCTCCTCCCCCCAATCCTGAAGACCACCATCATTGAGGTATTGGCTCCTCCCTCATTATCACTTTCTGGTTGGAGGATGTGATCAAATTATTATCGCCATGTAACAGTCTGTGCTCCAATCACATCATCCGATCTAAAATGTCCAGCTGGTAGGAAATGGGGGGGAACAGAGGAGAAGAAATATTATGTATTAGTATGTATGTATATATATATATATATATATATATATATAGTGGTGGGGGGAGGGGGAGAGCAGAAGCCAGGAGTATGTAATGTATATAGTGCAGGGGTCAGGAGTATATAGTGCAGGGGTCAGGAGTATGTAATGTACAACATGGAGTATATAGTGCAGGGGTCAGGAGTATGTAATGTACAACATGGAGTATATAGTGCAGGGGTCAGGAGTATTTAATGTACAACATGGAGTATATAGTGCAGGGGTCAGGAGTATGTAATGTACAATATAAATTATAAAGTGTAAGGGTCAGGACTCATACTATTGGTATTCAGCAATCAGTGGTAGGTTACATGGTAAGTTGCAGAGATCCACACCGCTGCCTCCCATCTCCTGAGACGGCACTCAGTGACTTGGGTCTGAGACTATACAGACATATCCCTCCACCCGGCAGACAGTAAGTGGCCCCGGGGGAATTGTTTTTGGTATGAGATCCTGCTATGCCCGGGATGGGGCAAAAGACCTCACACACACATCCGCCGGGTGTCTAGGTTGAGCCATGCTTATGGTGGAAATCCACATTTTGCTGCCAGCTGATCCCCGGAATCTCCATAAATCCAATCTAGAGACATAAATTGTGTCTGCAGCACAGAGAAGGAAGATTATCCGAGAGGAATCCAGGAATACAGGACGGGGAACACAGCTCAGGAAAGTGACCAGGGTATTACAGGCTCATATCACCCAGTACCCGCCCTACTCTGTACCAATCAGTGAGCAGTATGGGTGGAGGAACGGATTTAGTGTTCATGACCCACCTGTGCTGATCTCTGTAGGAGTGCCCTCCTCTATAAATGTCCCCGTTATTCCATCCTCCTCCATAGACTGCTGATCATCCCTCACATACGCCTCTTCTTCTTCTGATTTCACCTCAAATTCTATATCGATTGGATCTCCACTCTACATCAAGAGAAGGAGAGAAAATATCATCTGTACGATAGAAGATTTATTATTGTGACATCACATAGAGAATCCGCACATCGTCTCCATGAGTCCATGTTCTAGACTCTCCGTCCCACCAACCTTGTAATAGTGAGGGATGGTGTGACCTTCCTGTGTGGAATCCCGGGAATACAGAGGACGGGGACATCTCTCTGGTGGGTTCCTGTAGCTGGATGTCTCCACCATGGTGTCCTGGTACAGATCTTTGTGTCCTTCTGGAATCTCTGACTCCTCCATCACTCCATCCTCATCCTCCTCATCTTTTATCTCTTCTTTAACCTCAACTGTAGAATCTCTCAGGTTTCCACTCTGAATATATAATAAAATGACATCAGTGGTAACAATGCAGATAATGTACAGATCCTAATGATACTATCAGTGATTGTTCCTCATCTACCTGATGATGAGGGATGGTGTGACCTTCCTGTGTGGAATCCCGGGAATATAGAGGATGGGGACATCTCTCTCTGATGGGCGTTTGGTATTAGGTGGCTTCAATATGACATCTGTGTGTCCTCCTGAACGCTCCTTCATCACTCCATACTCCTCATTCTCCTTTTTTATCTCTTTCTTAACATTAATATCATCCCCGAGGATTCCACTCTGAATATATAATAAGACATTCATTGTAACAAACATGCCGTGTATAAATCAGAACTACTAATAATTGATATTCACCTACCTGCTCATGGTGGGGAATGGTGTGACCTTCCTGTATGGAATCCCCGGAATACAGAGGATGGGGACATCTCTCTGGTGGGTTCCCATGACTGGATCCATCTACCTGATGATGGTGAGGGATGGTGTGAACTTCCTGTGTGTGAATCCCGAGAATACAGAGGACGGGAACATCTCTCCGTGGGTTACTGTTATTAGGCGGCTCCATCATTATCCTTGTGTCCTTCTAAAAGCTCCTCCATCACTCCATACTCCTCATCCTCCTCTTTATACTCTTCTTTAACATCAATATTATCATCCCCGAGGATTCCACTCTGAATATATAACAAAACATTCATTGTAGCAAACATGTTTGTGGATAAAACATAACTACCAGCAGTTGTCTCCTACCTGATGATGGTGAGGAATGTTGTGACGTTCCTGTGTGGAATCCTGGGAATACAGAGGACGGGGACATCTCTCTGGTGGGTTCCCATGACTGGATTCTTCTACCTGATGATGGTGAGAGATGGTGTGACCTTCCTGTGTGGAATCCTGGGAACACAGAGGACGGGGACATCTCTCTGGTGGGTTCCCATGACTGGATCCATCTGTAGGAAACACACACACTGACTGAATCCATTATTTCTATGTGTTTTATCAGATGAACATGGGGGATCTAGGTGGATCCTCCGTACTGCTCTCTCCTTTTTCCAATAAAGTCTCCTCTTACCCGGTGATGTGAGGGGCGGCTGATTGTCCATCATGACGTCCTTGTAGAGGTCCTTGTGTCCTTCTAAATACTCCCACTCCTCCATGGAGAAATAGACAGTGACATCCTGACACCTTATAGGAACCTGACACACACAATGATACAGTCACCATCCAGACACATCCCTTGTCTGTTACTGGAGAGTAAAATATGTCACGGTGACGATGGAGGAAGTGGACGGACGAGACGGTGAAGGGAAGAGGACGGGCGAGGCGGTGAAGGAAGAGGACGGGGTGCGTGGCGGTGAAGGAAGAGGACGGGCGTGGCGGTGAAGGAAGAGGACGGGCGTGACGGTGAGGAAGAGACGGGCGTGACGGTGAAGAAGAGGACGGGCGTGACGGTGAGAGGAGGGAGGGAAGAGGAGACGGGCGTGACGGTGGAGGAAGAGGACGGGAGTGACGGTGGAGGAAGAGGACGGGCGTGACGGTGAAGGAAGAGGACGGGCGTGACGGTGAAGGAAGAGGACGGGCGTGACGGTGGAGGAGGAGGACGGGCGTGACGGTGGAGGAGGAGGACGAGGTGACGGGCGTGACGGTGGAGGAAGTGGACGGGAGTGACGGTGGAGGAAGAGGACGGGCGTGACGGTGGAGGAAGAGGACGGGCGTGGACGTGTGGAGGAAGATGACGGGCGTCACGTTGGAGGAAGAGGACGGGCGTGACGGTGGAGGGAAGAGGACGGGCGTGACGGTGGAGGAAGAGGACGGGCGTGACGGTGGAGGAAGAGGACGGGCGTGACGGTGGAGGACTTAGAGGACGGGCGTGACGGTGGAGGAAAAGGACGGGCGTGACGGTGGAGGAAAAGGACGGGCGTGACGGTGGAGGAATAGGACGGCGTGATGATGGAGGGAGAGGACGGGCGTGACGGTGGAGGGAGAGGATGGGCATGATGATGGAGGAGAGGACGGACATGACGGGGGGTTACTGGGTGTAAATATAAAATAAGATCTTATTACCTCCTTTGCTGCCACTTCCAGCAATGTCTCCTCTCTCTATGTCTTTCCACACTGAACTTCTTGTCTGTACCTTACATCACTTCCTGTCTGTACCTGACATCACTTCCTGTCTTCCATAGAGACTTCCTGTCTGGGTAGAAGTGAGATCACCACCTTGTGGAGCTCAGAGGAACTGCAGCCCCGAAACCATCTGGTAGTGTGACCCCGGCCTTGTGCTGGGTGTGTATGCCTGGCGGCAGTACACTCCGGCTCCCGGGCTGCAACCTGTTGACTTTTCATCATGCCACTTCCACCTAGAAGTCCTACGCGGCTGTAGATGAATCTCTGGGATCCATTGCAGACGGCGTTCCTTGCCTGCACTCCATGGCAGCTTCCATCTTCACCAAACTTTGGAGGTGGACCAAAACCTTGGGAGCGGCGAGCAATTACCCTATTAGCCCGGCACCTTTACCGGGCGGCAGTCCCAGAACCGCAAGTTCTGGGCTGTAGGTGCCTGGAGTCTTCTCATACTGGACATTTACATGTATATGATTTTTTTTGTCCCCTACCCCAATTGTCTATCCATCAACTGCATATGTCTCTTTGTCGGCTGCTTGGTTCCATTACCAGCGGTGCTACCTTGCATGATCTTGATACATACATATGGGACCAGGGGCAGACTGACAACTCATGGGGCCCTCGGCTATAGGGGATCATGGGGCCCCTGTGTCCTTGCCCACACTCAAAGCACACCCAAAAAAGCCTATAAAAGGTGCCAGGAGCATTTCATGGGGCCCCCTACTGACCCCAGGCCGTCGGGCAGTGCCCGCGTATTCGAATGGTCAGTCCGCCTCTGATATGGACTATTTGCCATTATGTTTGATTGGTGGGGGTTTGCTCTGCACCTTTAGCTGATCTACTCTTCATCTCTTTAGGCATTGCCACTGGGTTGTCTATATTATTGACCTCTCCTGAACAAAAGTCCCTCTTCCTTTCCTTCTGGTGACCTTTCTGGTCCCTACTGCGTTCCTTTGGGGAGCAGCCACTGAGTACCCCATCAATACAGACCTCCGTCCCCCATACTTAGGTATGCTATAGATTACAGCACAAGCAACAGAAATCTAAATGTCCTGCCATTACCCACGGCAACTCACCACCGCCCTCCAGAGGTTAGGCTCGTTCTGTCCCTGGTTCGCTCTTTTTGGTTCCAGCCGAGGCCTCCGAACCAGATATCTCGTAGTGTTATTGGGGGGTCTCTCAACCTCAGGAGACCTGGGGTATCTCAGGGTTACTTGTGAACACTGTCCCAGTACATAGGAGGAGGACGCCTCCAGTGCCTTGCCTCCTCTTCATCTGCAGAGCCTTACCGCTCTCCTGGACCTTTGGGACTTCCTGTCACCATCACTGTCACATGGGCTGTCTCCGACCGTCCCCCTCTCCTCTGATGCCACCGCCTCCTTCTCCCGATCTTATGGGATCTCGTCACTCCGGTGCACCTCACCAGCCACCTATGCCCTTCTGCCTGTCTGAAGGTTCCACACCGGCGGGATCTCCCGGTGTCACCAGTCACCACAAGGGCCACCCCCATGGCCATCACACCGGCCAGGGCTTCAGGTGAGATTTCTAGGCAGATCAGGGACTTTGAACGACTCCCTACATTGCGGGTGTCTGGAGCTCCTGCTCCTTACGGTGCCTGTTGTTCAGGCCCCTCCACCCTTGTGCCCGACTTTTTGCCATTTTAATTCCACGCTAGATTGCCAGCATTTGATCCAGCTGGCCCTGGACTCATCACATTCTACCTGGGGCCATGGACTGCCTGGTCGATAAATGAATATACTCGTAGGTCCACTAGTAGTTCGCTGTGAACTGCTGCCCCGTTGGCTTTTTCCCTTTTGGCATAGCGGTTCCTCCAGTGCTGTTTATCGGCAGATTCACACAGTTGCCAATGTAGTTCATTTTTTTATTCTGCTTTTGCATTTCATCCCATCCTGCTTTGATGCTTACAGTGAGGAACAGAAGTATTTGAACACCCTGTGATTTTGCAAGTTCTCCCACTTAGACATCATGGAGGGGTCTGAAATTCACATTGTAGGTGCATTCCCACTCTGAGAGACAGAATTAAAAAAAAAAAATTCAGGAAATTACATTTGTATGATTTTTAAAGAATTTATTTGTCTTGCACTGCTGAACATATGTATTTGAACACCTAAGAAACAGCAAGAATTCTGGCTCTCAAAGACCTGTTACTGTGCCTTTAAAAAGTCCACCTCTACTCCACTCATTAATCTAACTTAGTAAGCACCTGTCTGAGCTCTTTAACCACTAGCCTACAGTGGCACTTCTACCCCCTTCCTGCCTACAGGGCACTTCTACCCCCTTCCTGCCTACAGGGCACTTCTACCCTCTTCCTGCCTACCGGGCACTTCTACCCCCTTCCTGCCTACCGGGCACTTATACCCTCTTCCTGCCTACAGGTGTCTTGGAAATTCGCTTTAACGAATTTCTCCTTACCGTGAGTACTCGCAGTTGGATGCGCAGAAATCCCCCATAAAGCTGTGCGAATCTCGCTTACCACGACTGCAGCTAAACTACACGATTCCTGCCCATCCAACTACTTTAGCTTCTGTTCAAATGTGGGTGATTGGAGCTCCTTATACCTGGAAATGATCACACGACACCTTCAGGTTGATGGTTGAATTCACATAAGGGCCGGCTTCAGACTCAGCCCTCGGTTTTATTACAAATACACACATGCCCCCCACATGAATAAAGTCAATCCCCTCCCACCGAACAATGCAATGGGGAGTGCCTATACACAGGATGTACATTCCGATTGGAGCATAGTCTTTCCTATTATCTATCACTGGTCCTCCCCCATGAGCCTTCTGAGGTCAGTAGACTTCCCTCCCCTTCCCCCCATGAGCCTTCTGAGGTCATATTTCCTGTCCTACTAGCTCCTATTGGTATGTAAATTCTTTGTACAAGCATTCCCTAAGCTAAAACACCGAGTCTGTACCTGGATGGCTCGGTACGATCTTTATTAAAACACATCCATCCAAGATACAGTTTCAAGTTGGTAATGGGTTGTAAGATATGCATAAGCCTACACGCGGAGTTCGTACTGCTTGGCGCCTTGCGGCACGAAGTCCATGTGGTACTATGCTGCTGATATGTGGATACAGGCCCGCGGTCTACTGCTAGCGGCATTCGCATCGAATGCCATGGTGGTATACACGCCGGTCTATATAAGCGCAGATCCGCCATCTCATCCATTACCGAGCTGAGTACTGTAATACATACATTGTACATGCGCATGGCCAAATTGCAGCCTTCAGAGCTTTAATTAAGCCACACGAGAGACATATGAATAACACGAATAATATATGACACATTTAAAGTTCGACCAACAATACAAAATTTCCATGACATTCCCTCCTGTTTTATCATATTCTCCTCGTGTCCCTTCTTGATCTTCTTCAGCTTGATGGGTGTAGTCTCAAAACCTCAAAGAGTTTCCTGTAGTTGTCCCTGAGAATAAAGCTCCACTGGGTACCTGAAACAACAAGACCCGACGCAGACTCGACGCAAACAGGCTTGATTGAAGCGATGATCCTCAAGAGCGTTGGAACCCTCACTACAGGAAAGTTCTTGCAAAAAACCACAAACAGACTTGTAGTATGAATAAGGCTTGTGATCCCTCGGTGGTCTGGGGAGGTCCAGCAGCAGATTCTCAAATTGCCCCTGCAGACGGGGCCACACAAGGCTGGTCTCGACCCAGACAGTTTTCCAAATCGCAGACACAAACCATGATGAGGCTTGAAGCTTGCTTGGAGGTCTTGGAGAATGTGGTCTTCAGGGAGATTAAAATTAGAGGGAAGCCAGGACGTAATCTGTAGAGAAGGTGGTTGGTTGGTGAGGTCTTCCTCCGATCAGTGGTTGGAGTGGGATCCCAGGAGCGGGCATGGAGATGTGGTCGTCTGCCCGAGCTTGGCTTTACACGGTCGATGATGAGGCAACAGGAACATCTCACCGCGGCATATAAGAGGCAGAGGAAAAAGAGAAG